TTTTTTTTTTTTGCTCCAAAATTACTTTAATACTCTCTCAAAGAGCAATTATGCCACTTTGGGGTGGTCTGGGCCATTTTTGACCTTAGAGAGGTTTTTTCAACAGGACGTGTGGTGAGGTTGGCCCCCAAAGGGAACATGGGGGGGGGGCAAAACCACCATTTTTTTGTAGAGGGTTCTGCACTTCAAGGTCTTGTAGGATGAACGAGTGAGCACAGTGCATACCCAATATCAGTCACTTCTAAGGAATGATGCATCTATGGGCCGAAACAGATAGCTCTTCCTGCCCTGGAAAAGGAGGACACCTGGGGAGGGGGAGAAAGGCAGGAGGGTTTCTACCTCAGCTTCCTTTCTGCCAGGGCTGTTGGGCATCACCCCCCCAATCCCAGAGCCCCCGGACTGCCTGCTCCCCAGGAGGCTTGGGAGCTCTGGAGCCCCAATATGCAGCCCAAGTTGGCCCCTGGACTGCCTGCTCCCCGGGAGGCTTAGGAGCTCCGGAGCTGGTTGGCACTGATGACACATGGATGTGCATCATATGATTGTCATTTTTAAAAAAACAAAACAAAAAACGGCTAGTATGAACAACAGGGATGTCAAAAAAGATATGAATGCATGGAATTCTTGAAATAATTCACTTCCATAGTGGAAACTACGCATCGGTACGAATCGCTTCTGCGAACCGGTGTCAATGCGACTCCTGAACTGGTTTATATGCAAGTGGGAATGAGTCCTAGGTTCAGTAACAGAAACATAACCACCAAGTAATGAATAATACAATAATAATACAAATATATACAGCTAATAAAAAAAACATGCTGCCAAGAAATCTGCACTGATATAGGGAAATCATAGGTCTTCAGTGTGCTTGATTAAGAAAAATAAACTAGATGTGGCTATCTAGTCAGGAATGCATCCAGTCCTGATTCTCTTGGCTCTCTCTGGTCTCCCTTACCCTTACTCCCAACTTTGCTAAAGAATATACATCTTCATCTCTGTCCCAGTTATCTTTCTGATCTTTGCACTTTACAGCCTCAATAAAACTGACCCCCTCCTGAGTCATCTTTAAAACTGGAGGAGTTATTTTTCCTCCAATTTCATCTCTTCTCTGTAACCTTTAGCAAAAAGGTAGGTTTGTCGCTTCTGGGAAAAGCAGGGTGGGGAAAGAAATATCTGCGATCTCAGATGAGGGAGAAGGCAACTTGGCCCCAAAACCTAGAATTACTTAACTTATCACTAGACTTCCTGACAAGGCCACTTGAAACAAGCAGATTAAGTCAAGAAGTATATAGGAGAGAAAAAGATTTCATTTTTTAAAAAATTCAGGATTCTTTATGTTCTACAGGCATTGAAACTATGGCACAGAGTTAGATTTTCTGGCAATCCTTGAAAGTTTCTGGTTCCTGTGGTTACAGCCTGAGAAGGGTTTTTTTATTGTTGTTTCAATGTCAGTGGGATCTGATACAGAAGTCAGTGGTCAAGGGATCAGTGACAGATGTAGCTTCCTTAAAGGCAGACTTTTTTATTTTTGTGGTGTAGAGTAATTCTGATATAGTGTTTATCAGATATACAAGTAAACAACAGACAGGTTTAGTGTAGCCTTGTTTAGCTTGGTCAAAGGGGAAAAATCCTTTTTATACTAGAACTGATGAGCTATCTCAGTTTGAACAGAGATTACCGAGATTGTTTGAAAATAGATTGCCCAGCTCTAGCGTACTGACCTTCACAAAAAACAGTGAATTCCACTGAGTTCATAGAAGCCAGTTTCTGAATTGTATAAATGGTGCTTAAACCAGTATCCACTTTAAACTCTTTCTCCACTGTCCACTGCCATTTTGTGTTATATTCAGATGAATAAGGATACAGCAAACAGGTAAATCACAAGCAAAGACATTAGGAAAGTTTTCCTTCAGACTAATAGCCATAGGAGGGAGAATTTTCAGTAGTATCATGGGAGGTGTATGCTGCAGGGCATGATATGATTGGGATAAAGTTATGGTACTCTTGAAAACAGTCCATCACAGTTTCTGTTAAAAATAAAATCTATCATTCTTTCAACAGACAACATTTAGCATCACATACCTTTTAGCCCTCAAGAGTGTAATGTTTTGACACAAGGTTTACACTACCTTGTGTGGTGGACCAGCAAATTTCCCCCCCACAGTGTGCCCACTGACTACAAATGTTCTGTTCTTTCCTCTAAACTTGCTGTGGACTGGCAACTAACGGCTTGGAGGGGTCTGACATCAGTCCATGGATCACTACTTTGACTGATGTATGTGATATAACACGTGGTCTCAAAGGCAAAATTCCATCCTTACAAAAAGTCCCCATATCCTCTGACGCTGTTCTCCCTAGGCTATTTAGGATTAAACACTTTCCATTTTCTTTCCTTAGAGAAAAATGACCAAACCAGTTTCAATTTCATGTCTGGTTGTTTCTTAGTTATATCTATACTGCCATATAATTCCCCTGGGGCTACTTCTCTGTGATTTTATTCATGATAGGTAGTAAAAATATATATCCTATTTGCTCTGTTTTTATTTCAGGAAGAGGTATGTGTTCACTTTAGTGGATGTGAAATTAAATTTAGTGGATAGACTCAATGCAGTCAAAATGACACTGAATGTACATACATGCATAACAAAAGATCATCATCATCTCATCTCATCTCTTTAAAGAACTGAAATGAAATACTTTCCAGATTGTCAAACAGCCTTGGTAGTATGACATCAGTAATTACTTAAAACAAAGGGGGACTGGGTTTCAAAAGTCTGCCTTATTTTTTCAAGTTGTTTTTTTCATTGGGACTGTTATTGATTGGGACTGCTGTTAAAGAACAGAATGGTTGAACTGGATCATAGAGGAAATCATTTTCTTTAAAGAAATTAAATTAGAAGTGAAGCTTCTGGAAGGGAGCCATATAAGTATGCTGTTTATTCTGATCCCACCACTAGAATCTCAAAGGGGCGGGGTATAAATAATTTTTTTTATTATTATTATTAATCCAAAACATTGGAATATAATTCAGAGCCTTGCATAGATATTTCTTAAATGCTTTGATAGATTGTCCACAATCACCTGAGCTAGAAATCTTTTACATAAGTAGAATCTATGCAATTCAAGATTTTAAATGCCTTATATTTTGAAAAGGATCTGCTCTGACTTCTCTGAGACTGCAATTGGCCAACTAATATTGATGTAAGAATAGTTAGAATGGCTTTAAACATTACTATACTATATTGACTAAACTGATAGCCAGAGTGGTATAGTGGTTTGAGCACTAGACTATGACTCTGGAGAACAGGGGTTGAATGCCTGCTCAGCCATGTAAACTCAGTAGGTGACCCTGGGCAAGTCACAATGTCTCAGCCTGAGAGGAAGTGAAGGCAAACCCCCTTTAAACAAATCTTACCACAACAACAACAACAGCAACAACAACAACATTGACAAAACTGAATAGTCATTTTTTCTGTTAATGTAATACTACCTCCCCTTGTTAAGACATAGTATTGGAAACTGGTGAAATGGTGCTTGAAGTTACTATTACTAAGGGCCCTCAGGCCAGCCTGGGGGTAGAGTTGGGGCGGGGTAGCTGCACGCTGGCCACCCCAACCCTACCCCTATGCTGTTCTGACACCGCGTGGCTGTATACACGGTGCATGGGGTCAGGATGCCCTTCCGGTGCAGGGTTTAAACATGCTGCACTGAAAGGGTGCTGAAGAGCCGCGGAGTCAGCTCTTGGGGTGGTCTTTTGCTGCCCCTAAAAGGAGAGGCATTTTGCTGCTCTTTTCGGGGCGGCAAAAGGGAGGATTGGGGCTGT